CGGCCCGGACCACCCGGATTGACACCTCTAGGAAGAACATGCAGAAATGTGTGTAAGAATGTCTAATAGGTCAACCTATAAGTCATGCACAAGTTTTAAGAATGTCTAAAGGGTGGCATAATTAAGGAAGTAATTAGGTTTTTATTGCCTTATTATGTCTAGGTTTTAGATCTTAATTGGTCCTTTAAAAAGAAAAATTACACCAAATCAAAACGTTACGGTGTGTTTGACAAGACTTTTGTTTTTACTTTTACTTCTTGTAGAAGAGATTCACGAAAAATCTATCTTATATCAACTTCTCAAAAAGCAGTTTTTAATTTTTCAAAAATCCCTTCAAACGGGCCCTTATTATATTATTATAGCTTGTTGTGAAGATGAATGGGAGACAATACTAAAGAAGAAAATATTGTACATCTTATTGTTTAATCCTATTCGGTATTACGTATGAAACTTATAATTTAAGTATTCTATAACTATTCTACTTATAATATCCAAAGTTATACAAAATCTGAGAAAACAATCATAGTGGATAACAAGTTTCTGAAGCAGAACTTTTCTAAGGTTTCCAAATGCATATCATGAAAGTCAGCAGCAGTAATTCAAAAATTGACAAGAGTAAAGTTCACACACAATATAAATCTATATTTGTAATTATTACTCAACCCTAATTCCTCATGAATGCTGAACATATCTGAAGGCCACTGATTGAAGGTCATCAAAGTCATTTTGATATGCCCATTGCCTGTTATTTGATTGCATTTCAAGTGAATCCATACTGCCATATGAGTTGTTTGCTACAGGAAAAACTGGATTTTCACACTTCAAAATAGGGTTCATTGTGCCTCTTTGAGGATACAATATGTCTGTCATGCTATTGTCTATGTTTGTGCAATATGTGGGCATTGTGTCTTGATTTTGGCAGGATTGAAACCAGCTTAGAACGTCTTGTCGGAAAGAATGGCTTTCGTCGTAAAATTTATCATTAGAGTTTCCATCGTTGGAGCCATTAAAGGGCTGAGAAGCTTGTTCCTTAAGAGAAGCTAATTGGGCTTGGAGATTGACTACCTGAAAAGAAAAAGGAACAAAATGTCAATGAATTTGAGAATATGTAATAACAATCAGTGCATTTTTGAAACGTAGTATTGGACATGACTCTAGTAATGTCGACTATTATCCAATAATCTTCCTAGCCAAATATGTCATCGCGATTGTATCAACATAATGCCAATCAATTTAAGAATTAGCGAATGTTGTATTTGAACAAGACTCGCAAGATCAACAAGATTTAACTTTTTTTCTTATTTAATACTGTCTAGTACAATCCAATAAATATTGTTGCCTACCAATTATGGTTGAATTAACATTAATCTTGATTTCGACATGAATGACCAAAGAGAAAATACATACCTGTTGTTGGAGGGCAAAGATATGAGAAACACAGCCATAAATAGGATCTTGAAGCCTAGCCTGAGCTTCATAAGCAATCGTGACGGCCGCTTCACACCGATCACTCACTGGAAGATGAGCAAGGAGTTTCGACACATTGCTTGCACCAAAAACCTTATGGATGGCTGCAAAATGTGAAACACCTTGTTCATGACAGAAATAAGGTGCAAAAACACAATCCTTAGCACATTTTCTTCTCAAGAATTTGCAGGCACCACAAGGGGAACCAGATCCTGACATTTTTGATCTTGATCTTATTGCTTTTGATTGATCCTACTTGTGTTTAATTCAATGATTACTTTATGTTCTTAGCTTATTTCAAGCATTATCTCCATGTTTATAAACATCATAGGGGAAGAGGGGTGTATCATATAATATTATTACTTAATTAAATATGGTTGGGAATAACCCGATGTCTTAAGTAAATTTTTTCTCTCTTAAAAGCTCTGTTTAACCCCTCAATTTTAATTTAGAGTAATGTTATTCATCCCCAGTAGAGTTGTAACCCCAGTCTATATGGCTCTAAATAATAGGTTAAATTAATTTCACAAATCATTTAATATCACATTAATACCACCTAGATTGAAGTTACAACCCCACTGAGAATGAATAGCATTACTCTTTAATTTGTACTTCCATTCAAGATTCCTATTTAGGATCCTTAAAGGACAAAATAACTAACATAAATAGAAAACTGAATTGTAGGTATTAAGAATTGAACAGGTGTTGTCCTTAATTAGGATTATTTCAGGAATTTACTTGTTTAACTTTTAACCTGTCACTTCTGAATTTTGTCGGAAGTAAAACTCGAAAGCATGATATTTATCTGTTATTATTAACAAACTTATCTAAAAGCTTTAATAATAAAAAAGGTTGTGCTTAATTATTATATATATAATTAAATTATATACTGTTTTGGTGCTTTGTCTTGAACCTAGACACAAAGAGTAGGGGATAATCACAGCAAAAGTTCCAAATTTTTGAAACATTAGCAGACTTTCCCCAAACCTTTGATTTGTTGCAACCACTGCCCCGACCTTTCCAACCATTGTATGTAAAGCTATTTTGGATGGTTTCCATTCATTTTTCCATCAATTGACCAAAAAATTTAATTTTGACCATATTTTTAATCAATTAAAAGGGGGCAAAATGGTACATATCTATTAAAATAATTAAAATTGTTACCTGACCCCTAAATGATAATTGCAACCAAATGCTTGAAATTTAACAAATTTCATATGAGTGCAGCCGTCATCCCTAATATTTTCAACCATTGCATGTGAGGCCTTTTTGGATGGTTTCCATCCATTTTTCAGTCAGTTGACCCAAAAAATAAGTTTGACCATATTTTTAATCAATTAAAAGGGGGCAAAATGGTAAATATCTATTAAAATAATTATAGAAAAAATTTAAAAAAGAATAAGAAAAACGGTCGGCATCCTCTGGGTATCTATTTAAGTCAAATTGGAGAAGACACATATGTTCATTGGACGCACCATGAAGATTAGGTGATTGTGGTGGTTGTCTGCAATCATGGGTTGCACCACCGGTGCCGGAAAAGCCATTTGGAAGTCGCACAATGGTTGTGTTCGAAGATGTAGTTTGCTGGTTTTGTTTTTGTGTGTTTAAGGATGATTGATGACCGTGGACAAAGGCACCTTGATGAGTATAGTTACTTGGAATGTTGGGCATGACATGGGTGTTGTCGGAATTGGAGATTTCAGCCCTTTTTGGGGACTTGAACATGATGTTTTGGCTCAATTTTTCTGCAAGTTCAGATGGGTTCGAGGTAGGGCGTTGCGTGGAAGTTGTAGAGGGTGATGAGGGCTTTCTAGTGGTATGTATGTCCGCTAGTTTGGGTGGTGGCAGCCAGAGTTGAGGCCGGAGTTGAAGCTGAAGATGGCATGGAGATGGGGTGGGGTGGGGTGGGGTGGGGTGGGGTGGGGGGGCCATATTTTCTTTTTTGTTTTTAGTTTAATTGTATTTTAATTGTTAATAATATTTCAAAAAATATAAAATGCAAAATTACCATTTTGCTATTACTAAAATTAGTCAAAATCCATTTATTTGGTCGGTCAAATAGATAGCCTATCTATTTGGACCCCCTGGACATATTTTTGAAATGTTAGAAATGACGGTTGTAACAAATCAAATATTTGAAAAAAGTCTGTTAATGTTTCAAAGGTTTAGAACTTCTACTGCAATTATCCCAAGAATTAAAGTGCTGCACGAATTAAAATGCACTGATATATAATCAATGAACAAGACTTGAGCTGGCAGTGAGTGTAGAACAAAAATGACAGGTGAAAAATTAATTAAATTTATTAATTCTACACATTTTAATTGACTCATCCAATACAAAATTTGTTATGTCCCTCCAAATATCTAATCGAATTGCATTTAAACTTTGACCACTATATCATATTGTAGCATCAATGAACTGTAATAATTTACGTGACGATGGAAATACGAAAAAAAAAAAATTATTTCATTATAATTTTATATATTTCATAGAAATATTAGAAACGTCGACAAGAATTATAAATCCTTATCACCACCGCCACCTTCAATCTTGCATAGACTTTATTGATTTGTTAAAATCGAACATGATAATTTGAACGGGACGTAAATGAGGCCTTAGATATGCACGAACAACATATACTTGTTTTATAATCTGTATTTTCTATGTCTTCTTACGTTTTCAATTGATATGAATATAACCATATGCACTTATTGGTTCCATCATGAATGAATAATATATATAAGATAAACTTATTTTCCCTTGAACATAGAGCTTTTAACTTTTACTCTTGTTTTCGAGAATAAAAAGTACAATAATATTACACTAAGCACCATATGATTGTTTAGGATAACTCAAAGTTGCTAAAAAGTAGTGGTATTAATTTTAGTCATACATTTGATCAAATTTTCAATCACATATTTCATCAACTTTTATTAAAATTTGCTAAAATTATTATAAAAAACTTAGTCAAATGACGAGGGACGAAAATAAAATGAGATAAGAACAAGCAAATTAAAAAGCAGAGTATTCAAAATAAGATAAAACAAAAGATAGGGATATGAATGACAAAAAAGCTCAGACGGCTCGGGTTTCGCCGGGAAAAAGTCTGAGCCGGGCCGGCTCGTGGCTCGATTCCACCAGTCGGGGCTAGGGTCGAGCCCCATTTTGGGGCATTAGCTCGAGGTTGGGCCTGCCCATCTTAAAAAGAAAGTTAAAAAAAAAAATTTAATTTAGCTGTCTGCGTTTGTAGGCATGTGCGCAGGCAGCAGTCACGAAAAAATAATAAAAAAAATCAAGCCGGCTCGAGCCGAAAGCTCAGATTGAGTCTAAAATTTTTTGCCGAGCTTTTTCTCGTCTCGGCTCGACTCGACTCGGGCTCAAAAAAGTTCGGACATGTTTTGCTCAAACCGAGCACATAGCTTGATGGGACACTAGAATAGAACCACCTAACTGGAAAATTCATATTATTTGTTTAAGTTCAGCAATTCACAGTTTGTTGAGAGCCTGTTTATTTTCGATTAAAATTCAATTAAAATGGAAAATATGGCCGTTATTGGGTCCCACTCGTCTAATAAAAGTCAACAATAACGGCTAGTTTTTCAATTTTAATTCGATTTTAATCTCTACAGAACACGCTCTGAGTAATAATAGTAGTACGAACTATATGTAAATATTAATTAATTTGAACCACTGTGTTGTGTCACATTTAGGTTCCAACAAGTAGACCTTGCCCAAAGCTGCATTTATTCCCCCACCTCTTATCACTAAATGAGGGAAGCACGAGAGCGTAGCCGCACTATCTGTCTTTTAAGACTTACATGTATTTCTTTCCCTTCAGACATGCCATGTTCATTTTAATTGCCTTGAATGACATTTTGTGTTCGTTTGACACGAAAAATTAGTACACATGCACCAATTGATGCAAGATATAATTTATATATTTTATAAACTAAAGTAAATACATGTATTACATATCTCTAACATCCTAAACTAGAATCTTTAGCATTAATCAAAGTTTGAACTCCAACTTTGAGGGCCCCCACCGCCTCACCCCTAGAACATTGTGAACGAGGTAAATCGCGGAATATGTCTCAACAGGTCAGCGTACAAGAGTTGTCATACTGCTGCCCACAAATAATCCAATTTCATACCTTGTAAGAGGCAGAAATCGAACTCTCACACTGCGGCTGTTAGCTCAGTTGAGACTACCCCACTCCTATCATTTGCACTACTGAATTATGCCTTGGCCACTTAATCATGTAAAGAGAAGAATGATATTACTGACAACAAGGCATGTTAGCTAAATTATGGGATTATTAAAAAGGAAAACTTAGAAGACAATAATGTAGGAGGAATTCAACTCATTTGGACTTATCTATTTTCTCCCTGTTTAATATTTCAAATTCATTTAAATTAGGATAATTACAAAATGTACATACATGTATAGTTATAATTACACTTTGCATATTGTATTTTATAAATAGCACATTTTTACATACTATAGTTTGCATAATAGTAAAAAAAAATTAAAAATTAAAAATATATCATCTATAATATATTAAATCTTAAATCAAGTGAGAATTATTTTTTTGGATGATTATAACCATACTATAATTCAATTATGTTAATAATATCTTACTTTTCGTTTTTTCAATATGTATTTAATTTACAAATTGTAATAAATATTATAATTATTTCTCAATTAATTAACATTCATATTCATTTCAATAATTTTAATTAGAATTTCATATTTAAGAATGTAGTTCATTATTCATGTCCATGTATGTTAATTAGCATCCAATTTCACTTAATTATAAATTTGATTATATTCATTTGATATAAATAATTTAATATTCATAATCACGTATATATTCCTTGGTCTTAATTCTAAATTTATTAATATTCACGCTAATTCATATATCGTATTTTCTATTCATATTCATTTATGCATTTAGTTGTAATTTTAATATTCACATCTAAGTCTACATTTCACTATTTATGTGAAGTAAAATAATTAACATTTATTTTTAAGGACTTGCATTTCTCTCATATTTAGATCAAAACAGTAAATGGATAGTCAAATATTACTTTCACATCACTTATAAATTATTTTAGAATAACGTACAACACACGTTCAACTCTGACTAGTTATTATAAAATAGCTCAACCGACAAAAGTACCCTTAACTGAAATAAATAATCAAACCACATATATTACT